GGGGGGTAAGGCTATAGGCTTAGTTCAGGGATGTGGTGTTGAGAAGGGTGGGTGGGCAGAGGGCAGTGGGGGCGGGGAGAGGGGCCCAGAGGGAGGCTGCTGGGCTTGCCTATGGGGAGAGGGAGGCTTGAGCACCTGCCCTCACTGGCCCGGAAGGTGCCAGTGGAGAGAGGGGAGGGGAGGGGAGGGAGGGACGAAGTGGTGACAGTGGAAAGAGAAGTTTCCAGGGACAAGTGGCAGGGCTGGCCTTGGACCAGGCTGTGCTTCCACCGACCGCTCCTCGGGTGGAGGCCCCTGGGGATGAGGTGGGCAGGGCGGGCACTTTAGAGATCACCCCTGCCTTTGAAGACCACGTGGGCACAGGCTTTCCTCCGCACCCTGCACACCTCTACCCCTTCTCTGCCCCATCCTGTGAACTTCAGCGTGGCCTACTCATTCACTCCCTCGTTAGGTGACAGCACCTTCGCGAGGAGGAGGCTGAGGTTTACTTAGTGTCAAGGCGCACAGTCAGGGGGTAGATAAGGAGGCGTTGGCCAATATCAGAACCCTCTTCTGAGATCAAGTTCGCCCCGCCTTTCTTGATCAACATCCTCTCTGTGCAGGGACTGGAGATGATAACCAGGTGAGGCCAGGGGAGGGGGGATGAGAGTGGAGATGCCACCTTTGGGAGTGGTGACAGGTGGCAGGGAAGGGAGGGTCCCCGTGGTGGGTGTGGCTTGCCCGTGGGAGAGGAGACAGTGCCTCGAGGTTTGCTGGCTCCAATTGGTGGCTAGTGAATGATTCATTTATCAACCACTGTGCCCAGGCTGCCTGCCAGGAGGGTGCCCTATGACCCAGTGCTTTCAAAATTAATGTGTTCTTTGAGTCATTCCCTTGAGTCACATTCACAGGCACCTATTGCTCGCTGAGCCCAGACTCCTCACACTACAGAAGGCCCAGGGGAGAAGGAGGGGTCCCAGCAGGGCTGTTGAACCAGCAAACAGCGGGCCAGAAGGTGACAGGCAGGCCCCTGGGCCAGGGGCCAGAGGGAAGAGTGATATGATCTGGGTGTGTGCGTGCGTGTGCACACGTGCACCTGAGTGTACGTGGGGGGAGTGTCTGACTCGTGTGCATGCATCTGTGTGTGCGTGCGTTGGGGGGGGCATGTGCATTATGCACCGATGTGGGGAGCTCGGAGGCAGTGGACCCATCTCCCAAGACCCACAGCCCCTTTAGGAGGGGAGAGGGTGGCGCTGCTCCCGGCCCAGGGACAGACAGCAGTGACAGAGTGCTCAAGGCATGACAGGGGTCAGCAGCCCAGGAGGCTGGGGCCCCCAAGCCCCTTCACACGCGTGCACACGCATGCCCACACAGAGGTACTCAGCCCAGAGGGCCTGCCCCTTGCCCTGGACAGAGACAGAAAAGGAGAGACACAGACACAAGGGAGGAGGCCACGTGAGGAGGGAGGCAGAGACTGGAGTGATGCGGCCACAAGCCAAGGGACGTCTGGGGCCACCGGAAGCTAGAGATAGTATGGCCCTGGTGACACCTTGATTTCAGACATCTGGGCTCTAGAATCGTGTGAGGATGAAGTTCTACTGTTTTAAGCCTCGTAGGTTGCTGGTCATTTGTTACAGCCGCGCCGGGAAACCAACCCAGCTGGTGTGGGGAGAGGGCTGGGGGAGGCGGAGCTCAGTAGCGGGGTGGGGTCTGAGGAAGGAGATTAAGGTTGGCCTGAGTGGGTGGGTGGGAAAAGGTGGCTTTTTTCCCCTCAACGTTCCCAGCTCTCTCAAATCATAGCAATTGTCTGACTGTAACAGAATGCCCAGAGTAACTGTCTGTCACTAGCTTGGGGGTCCCTTTGGTGCTCTACATGCCTGACTCCTGACACACAGTTTCCTACTTGTGGAAGACACAAATGAGACGTGGGAAGCCACTGTGAGCTGGAAATTCAACAACATTCATTCAGCAAACATTTATTAAGCTCCTACTGTGCTGCCAAGCTGAAAAGTCGAGCAGCAACCAGATCCCCAAGGGATGCTGGGCCCCTGGAAAACCCTGACACAAACAGCCCTCATGCCCTCATTTCGTGCACAGCATTCCCTTCAGGGCTGATCTGTAGGTCTGGGAAACTCTGACAAACCTAGATTCGGGTTTTACGAACACTGACATTGAACCCCACGTCTTCTCCAGTTGGGAGACACCGATGTGAGCTCCGGTAAGCGATCCCCCCGGCCCCGGCCCCCGCCGCGGCTTGGCAGACAGCCAGCTCTCCCCGTCCTGAACCACGCTGGGCCACCAGCCCGGAGGCACACCTTAGTCGGACCGCAGGGACTTGTAGCTCAGGTGCCGGGGAGGGTGATATTTTCGTGCCCTGATTCTAGGACTAACGTCACTTCACCCTGGAGGAGTAGCCCCGCCGGTTCCGGTTGCCGCCCGTCGGCTCCCGAGGGCGGAGCGTGAGTCTCCAGGAGGCGGGGCGTCAACCTCCCGGGGGCGGGGCGTCGGCTCCAAGGGCGTCGGCTCCAAAGGAGACGTACATGCTGCATCTAGGGGACAGGGCGGGCGCCTTCGGCCTCTGCGCTTGCGCTTGAGCTGGAGTCTGCGTATTCGGCCGGACCCGCCTTCGGCGGACAGCTGCGCTACCCACCCAGGGGCGGGCGGGCCGGCCTGGGCTGGGCTGGCTGGCGGGCTGGCGGGCTGGCGGGCTGGCGGGCTGG